TCAGTTGATTACCATCAGCGATCAGTTCTTACGTCGCATCTCCATCATTCGAACAGTCTTTCTAAAGCATTGCTGCGGCGCCTATCACTCAGACACAACATTTCCTACCTCTCCCTTCCATCCTGCGAGTAGTCTAGAAGACTCTTGGGGAGCCCATTCTATTCGGAGAGATGGAAATCTCTTCGATTAAACGGGCTGCAATATGGGCATTCGCTGGACTTGGCATCGCGCTGGCGATAATCTCCTGCTGCGAGATGGCGGACAACTATCTCGTCCTCTCCCACCCTGACGCCTGCATCGCGTCGTCCAACGGAACCCACTGCGCGGCAGAGTTCCGCGTGGCGCGGCGATCCCTAGGCGTTGTGCCGTAGACGGCGGAGCAAGTGACCTCAGCCATGATTGTCGCGGTGCAAGCGCAAGTCGCGTCACTAATCGACGCGGCCGACGAGATTAAGTCAAGCAACGTGCGGAACGATCATTTCATAAACGCCATGGCGAGGAGCTGCGCGCGACAGGCTAACATTGCGCTTGCGCGACGTGCCGTACTGGTTGGCAGCCGCCGATACGCAGATCGACAACTGCGTTGACGGTTTCCAGACTTTCTCGCCCGCAGCGCAAGGCTTCCCCGCTTACGTGCATCTCGAGGTTCGTTACAATCCTGATTTCAAAATCTTAAACACAGATATTAAAATTAAGAGGGCCGCATTCAGATCCATTCGCTAGAGACTCCTGTTTCGAGCGCTCCAGAAGCTCTCATTTTCTCGCATCTTTTCGAAGGAAACGTCATCTTGCTCGGTGCAACAGCAACGCTGGTTCATTCGTTCTTTCTCCCTTCTCCCCTCTCCCCCGCTACCCGCTTCCTTCCCGCAGTACACTGCTAAGAAAGCGGGCAGCACGCTTGGCGCTCTCGTTTCAATCACCAACGCCGCCGCGAAAGCCGTTGCTACCAGCGGGGACGATGAGGTGGCTGTGCGTGGACGCAGCATGGCCGTTCAATCAAGCAGCCCGAATTGGCTTGAGCCGGGCTTGTACGAGCAACTGCAGGAGCTTCAAACGAGGCTGAATGCCGAAGTTGCCGTTGCGGAGGGAGGAGATTTGGAGGGTGGTTCTATCTTGAGGAGGCAGCTCCGCCACCGCCATAACAAGAAGAAGAATAAGAAGAGCAGCGGCAGCAGCAAGAGCAGCAGCAGCAAGTCCCCAAGCAAGAGCAGCAGCAGCAGCAAGAAGAGCGGCAGCAAGAAGAGCGGCGGCAAGAAGAGCGGCAGCAAGAAGGGCAGCAAGAAGAGCGGCAAGAAGAGCGGCAAGAAGGGCAAGAAGAGCGGCAAGAAGAGCGGCAAGAAGGGCAAGAAGAGCGGCAAGAAGAGCGGCAAGAAGAGCGGCAGCAAGAGCGGCAGCAAGAGCGGCAAGAAGAGCGGCAGCAAGAAGAGCGGTAGCAAGAGCGGCAGCAACAGCGGCATCAAGAAGAGTAGCAAGAAGACCGGCAAGAGCAGCAGCAACAAAAGCAGCAAGAGCGGCAGCAAGAAGAGCGGCAAGAAGAGCGGCAGCAAGAGCAGCAGCAAGAAGGCGTCACCGTCCTCCGGCGCAATGGTTGCCGGCCCGTCCCTTGCGGCCAGCGCGACCGTCGGGAAGGGATACAAGTCTATCCAGGATGCCGTTGATGCCGCTCCTGGCGGTTCGCGATTCGTGATCTACATTCCCGCGGGAACGTACAAGGAGCAGGTGTTGATTGATACGACTGATATCGTTCTGATTGGTGCAGGCGCGGATAAGACGATTATTACGGGCGACGCGAGTTACGGCAGCGGGTCCGGGACCTACGAGTCGGCTACAGTTGGGGTGGATAGCGACAGGTAATGCCGCCCTTTTCCCTTTTCTGCCCTCTCTACCCCTGTCTGCCCTTACCTCTCTCACGCCTTTCTGCCCTTCTCGCTCTCACCCCTTTCTGCTCGTGTTCCACTCACGGCTTCCTGCTTTTCTCTTCCTACCCTTGCATCACGTACCCACCATCTGGTAACCGCACGACAGGTTCGTGGCTTTCGGCATAAAATTCGTCAACACGGCAGGCCCGGAGAATCACCAAGCAGTTGCGTTTCGCGCCACTGGTGACCAATCAGCTCTTTTCAACTGCGCGTTCGAGGGATCGCAAGATACATTGTATGTGGACGCGGGACGGCAGTACTACAAAAATTGCTACATCGGCGGCACGCAGGACTTCATTTTCGGCGACGCGGCTGTGGTCATCGATGCTCCGAAGATTCAGCTTCACCCAAGCCCCTCTTTTGGAACTCTTACGGCGTCGGGGCGCAGCAAGGATACGCCAACTGGGATTGTGATTCGCGATGCGAATGTTGCGGCGGACAGCGGTACTACCAGGGTGTATCTGGGCCGTCCGTGGAAGAAATGCGCCTTCACGGTGTTCATCAACGCCAATCTCCCCGCGGTAAGCATCCCCTGTTCCAGTTTCATCTGCCTGCACAAGTTCCACCTACTCACCCACCATCCCCCCTCCTTCCCACCCGCCTATCCCCACTCCGCATCGTCACTCCCCATCTCCATTTAATCCCTTCAAATGGCTGGCTGTTGTGAAACAAGGGGAAGTGCATTCATGCTTACTTTCATTCCCGCCTTCCCCACCTCCTTCACTCCCCATCCGCCCATCCCCCATTCCCTTTCAGGCGATCGAGAAGGACGGCTGGCTGTCGTGGAACGAGGGCAGCTGCATGTTCCTTGCGGAGGCAGGAAGTAAGGGGCCTGGCGCCGCGTCTTCCCGGGTGGACTGGGCGAAGCCTGGGATTATCACGGACGTCAGTGGATACGATGCCAACTCTTTCACGGAAGTCAACAGTTGGCTCAAATTGTCGGGCTAGTGTTTATGCTAACATCGTTATCAAAAGCTGCAGCAGTAGCGGTCATAAGGACACTGGTGGGTAATGGCCGCGGAAGCGCCAAACCGGTGTAGGAGTTCGATGCTCTTAGGAGTTAGTGGTGAGCTTCTTGACCAAGCTGAAGATCCCAGCGGAATGAGGTCGACGGAATCGAGTTGCCAGGGTCGACGAGGGGGGTCGACGGACAGGGGTCTGACGAGGCGGGCGAGTGACGCGCGTGCGGGCCCGCCAGCCTGGCCCTGGGCTATATTATGCTGAACAGTTGGGGAGGTTCTTAGCAGATAAAACCTTTTGTTGCTATGTCCTTAGATTTTTGTTTGTTCCATTTGTCGTAGGAACAAAATTGCATTCTCAGTCCGCCTATAGAAACCGACGCGTACTGAGAATGCGGTTCACCCAAAACCCTGAACACAATGCATAGCAGTTTTCCAGTCTCGGGCAAGTGTAAAAATATGCTTTCTTTGGCCTTCTGCATTTCAGCTAGTTTGGTATGTGATATGCAATCGAAGCATTCACTATAAACTGAGTTTGGACTGACACCTTCTGCTCAACCTCACACGTGACGCATTCCCTATGGCTTGGCCGTCGCGGGTGAGCCGCCTGATCGCGGGTGATTCCGCAATCACCGAAGCGAGTGAAAAAGCGCGCGAACTCAAATTCGCGTTCCCGCGGCGGTGGTAACCAGTGCAACGATATGCTCTTCGAAGTTCGCTGTCAGAACTCGCAAACGATCGGGATGATCAACTGACAAAGGAGAGTTCCTTATGAGATTCAGGTCAAGAATAGATTCAGTTTGCTTGCAGACCGTACACAAGTCAGTCGGAAATAGTTTCTCGTGGTGAGTACTAGTACAGCATTTCTTACACGTAATCTCGGAGGTAATCAGGCGCATCCGACGCGTGTTCATTCGACACTTTTTATGCGATCCCCTGCCGTATATATAGCACGTATAGTGCGTTCTTAACGACTTTCATGGCTACTCACCTCGAGTACACCCTGCCAGCATAGACAAGGGATCTATCGTTAACTAAGGAATAATGGATTACCAGGTGTTTTTAGTCAGACTGCCTGGTCATACCCGGCCTACTCGTAACATATCTAGGCTGCTTAGGGTATCCGAGCAAGGAATTTCTATATCAACCCTAACTCCCGCGAATCCGACGATTCTAGACTTCACCTTCGAGCAAATCGCGAACCTCCGTTGCTCGGAGTCGGACGGTCAGGAATTCTCGTTCGATGTAGCTGGAATCTCGCACACTTATGCGTGTTCGACTCGAGAGATCCTTCTCACATCTCTATACAACAGACTCGACGAAGTCAATGGCATTGGTAAGTCATTTCATAATGAGGGATCTTTCTTACTGGCAACGAGTGTTTGCCAATACTTGTATTGTCACACAACCGCTGATCTAACATCCTGGAAAGTGAAAATTCCCGTATACCTGCCGTGTTCACCATTATTATATTTATCCCCTGTATTTCGAGTCACTGCATCTGATGTTTTGCCATTCTGAGACTGCGTTGTGATGCTTGTGTGTCCGTGCCGTAAATCTGATGCGATTCGATTTGATTCGATTCGATTCGATTTCAACACAGGAACCGACTTTCCCGTGCGGAAGGCCAGCAACCATCGCGGCGAGTATACCGAGGTCGTTCTGCGAGTCAGGAGCGCGTCGCTTGTCAAGATGGTCGCCGCTGGCGTTCGCCACGAGCGACAGACGGTGAGTGTCAATAAGCCGAGTTGACTTTGAGTCAACTCAAAAGTAAGTCAACTCAAAATTCAAGATGGTCGCCGCTGGCGTTCGCCACGAACGACAAACGGTGAGCCAGCCGCGCGCGACGGATGGTGAATCAGTTGCAATAGACGGGTAGTCTGGTACAAAACAAGAAATGATATATCAGGGAGCAGACGTGAGCTGAACGCCACTGGAAAGTCTCGCATTCATACGTACACGGAGGCGGTGCAAGGAATATTTCGTGCGCGTGCGAGGCCCCTCAAGCACTTCGAGCTTCGTTCGTCGAATCTGAGCCGGCATTATAACGAACATTTATGCACGAAGACGTCTGATTGAGTTATTGCCGTAGACAGGATGTAACTTGGGGTCAATCTTGCTAATGAAGGATGGTGAAATAGCCCTTGTTTACTGCCCCTCTTACTTCCCCTCCTTCCCCCTTTTCCCCCTCCCATCCCCCCTTTTCCCCCTCCCCAACCCCCTCCCCTCTCCCTCCCCATCCCCCTCCCCTCCCCCCCCCCTTCCCCTCCCCATCCGGCCCACCGTTCTCGCCATGTTGCGCCGCTGGGTAATGTCAGGCGAGCAGCATGAAGACGATCAACCTGGTAGACGTGATGAAGATCAAGACGGCGGGCGAGCAAAAAGGTTGTGAGGCACCTCTGAGGCAATTGTTGTCTGACCCCAGGCGCTTTTACCCCTCCCTCTGATGCCGATGACCCCAGGCAAGCAGCGTGAAGAAGATCAAAGTTGGTGGACGCGACGAAGACCGAGACGGCGGGCGAGCGAATGGCTGTTGTGCCGTTGATTGACAGTGGACCTATTGATAGCCTTTGTTTACCGCTCTCTGTGACACTGTAACATCGCCCCAGACGAGCAGCATGAAGAAGATCAACCTGGTGGACGTGATGAAGATTAAGACGGCGGGGGAGCGGGACGAGCAGGTGCTGCTGCATTGCCAGCCAATTAATGAGATACGTATTCTGAGCCCGTCTTTTCCCCTCCTCAGGCGAGCAGCATGAAGAAGATCAACCTGGTGGACGTGATGAAGATCGAGACGGCGGGCGAGCGGGACGAGCAGGTGCTGCTGCACACCAAGTCGCGCGTGTGGCAGCTGCTCGTGGACGGCGAGTCGGACCAGTTCGCATCCACCGTGCAGAGGAATGCCAAGGTGAGATGGAGGGAGGCGGCTTGATGGCATGATGGCATTTGGGGAGGAGGGAAAGGGCCAGGGAGAAGAGGCTAGTCGCGAGTGGCAGGTGCTCGTGGACGGCGAGTCGGATCAGTTCGCATCCACCGTGCAGCGCAACGCCAAGGTGAGATGGAGGGAGGCGGCATGATGGAATTTGGGGAGGAGGGAAAACCAGGTCGCGTCCACCGTGCAGCGCAATGCTAAGGTGAGATGGAGGGACAGGTGCAGCGGAATGCGAGGGTGAGATTCATTGACAGGGGCAGCTGGATTAGGTGCTGGTGTTTACAGAATGGCGAGTGAAGTAGTTGGTGTTGGAGGTGAGTCGGACCAGTTCGCGTCCACCGTGCAGCGCAACGCCAAGGCGAGATGGAGAGACGGATGGGCGAAGAGAGGGGGAGGGCGAGGTGGGAGGAAGGGCGAGGTGGGAGGAAGGGCGAGACGAGGTGAAATGCAACAAGGTGAGATGGAGAGAGGTGGGATGTTGAGAGGCGGGAGAAGGGAAAAGGAGGAGCAGGTGACAGAGCCGCGACTTTTAGGCGCCTCAATAATTGCTTCAGTTCAAACTGCATACAGAGGCGCGAGTAGGACAGGTGCAGATGGATGGATAGGCGACAAGTGGGTTTCAACGGTTGACCCTGAAGAGATCTCGAGGCTGTTAGCGTAGGGAGGTGCACGCACGCTTGGTTGAAGTCACATCAGCCATTCGTCACACTTGCATGCAGTCACACATGCACGCATGCCCAACTGCACATGGCTGTACTGTGGGTCTATGCAATCGCAGCCTCATGTGTTGTTTCATCTGCTTGCTGGTTTTGTTGTCACATTTAAGTTAGGCACTCGTGCTGTCTGTTGAAACAGTATAAGGCACAGCCACTCTCCTGATCTGTTTAACTCGTGCATGTGGGCGCTTGGGTCTGTCCTGTCCCATCTTGGTGTGTGTGGTGTGGTGTGGTGTGGTGTGGCAGATGTACCTGCAAAAGCACATCCCGGTGCAGCGAGTCACAGGGGAGGAGATCCTCATAGTCACCAACGCAAGGGCTGAGTCACTGGTGAGCTACCTGCTTCTCTCGTACTGTCTATGCTGTACGAGTTCTCAGTGGTGAAGAACAACGACCCTGCCGTGGCATGCAGAGGGAGAGAAGGGGATGTCCCTTGTGGTGTCCTGTCAGGCAGTGCCACTCTTTCCTCACCATTGCCACCTAAGCATTGCGGTGTATTTTGAGGCGCCTCAAAATACACCTCAACGAAGGGGATGCCCCTTGTGGTGTCCTGTCAGGCAGTGCCACTCTTTCCTCACCATCGCCCCCTCCGCACCCCTTCAACCCCCCCCTCTGCAGCGAGCGTCCCCTGTGCTGTACGAGTTCTCAGTGGTGAAGAACAACGACCCCGCCAGTGGCATGCAGAGGGAGAGGAGCCGATACCCCTTGCGGTGTCATTGTAGTCACCCATCTCAAGTGCGCGCGACTATCATCCACTCCTCTGCCCGCACTCCCCCCACCAGCGCGCGTCTCCTGTGCTGTACGAGTTCTCGGTGGTGAAGAACAACGACCCTGCCAGCAGGAAGAGGAGAGGACCCTGATGAGATTCTTCTTTTGCCTCCTCTCCTTCCCATGGTTTCCCCTCCTCTCTCCTTCAACCCCCCTTCCCACCAGCGCGCGTCCCCTGTGCTGTACGAGTTCTCGGTGGTGAAGAACAACGACCCTGCGAGTGGCATGCAGAGGGAGAGGACGCTCGTGCTGACCAAGGAGTTTATGGCGGAGATGACTGGCAGCCATGTGATCGCGCTGCACAGGTGAGTGAGAGCACTGCTGGGATGTGACTAGAAGTAGAGGATCACAGTGGGTGGGCGTGAGGAGTAGAGGATCACAGTGGGTGGGCGTGAGGACGCTCGTTCTGACCAAGGAGTTCATGGCTGAGATGACTGGCAGCCATGTGATTGCGCTGCACAGGTGAGTGGGAGTACGAAGTATGATCTGGTGCTCGAGTGTGAGCATGTGGGCAGCAACTGAACTGACCAAGGAGTTTGTGGCGGAGATGACTGGCAGCCACGTCATTGCGCTGCACAGGTGAGAGATGTAAAGAGAACATAAGGGGTGTGATTACAAGGGGGGAAGGTAGAGTACCGTGGGTGGGCATGTGGGCGCGAACTGACCAAGGAGTTCATGGCGGAGATGACTGGCAGCCACGTGATTGCACTACACAGGTGAGAGACGAGATGAGAGCACTGTAAGGATGGGTGGGCACGTGGGCAGCAACTGACCAAGGAGTTCATGTCAGAGATAATTGGCTGTCAAAGGTGAGAGACGAAAAATGAACATAAGGAGAGGAGTGAAGGTACATTGGGTGGGTGGGTGGGTAGTGCCTCCCTTGCTGTGTGCTTAACGCAACGCTATGCACCCCTCTTGCTGCTCATTGCCCCGCTACCCACCAGTCTGAGCGGCATCTTAGGGCTGGTGGTGTTGGACAAGAGCGAGAGAGAGGCGATAGTGGAGCTGAGTGGGTGGCTCCCTCTGTTCCCACGTCTAACCCAACTCTATCCACCTCTCTTGCTGCTCCTTGCCCCATGCTGCCGTGGTGTGTTTTGTACCCACCTCTGTCCAAGCAGTCTGAGCGACATCCTGGGGCTGGTGGTGTCGGACAAGGTGGTGTCGGACAAGAGCGAGAGCGAGGCGATAGTGGAGCTGAGTGGGTGGCTCCCTCTGTTCCCACGTCTAACCCATTTTTATGCGCTCCTCTTGCTGCTCGTTGGCCTATGCTCACATGTGCCCGCCCACCAGTCTGAGCGACATCCTGGGACTGGTGGTGTCGGACAAGAACGAGAGCGAGGTGATAGTGGAGCTGAGTGGGTGGCGCGCGACGCAGTACTGTGTGGCGGACAGGGAGGCGCTCGTGGGCAGCCTGGCGGAGGTCGCCAGCCACGCCAAGGCCCGCAACTTCTCCGTCCGCCTTGAGCCCTTCGCGCAGCACACTCTGCCAGAGAAACCCTTGCCTCTCTATCAGGTGCGTGGGTTTGGAGTAAGACGAAAATGGAAACCTTTGTTTGAGGGAAAAAAAAACCAGTGTCTCGCTCAGTAGTAATTTTGCAGCTCGCTCCATCTTTCCAACACCCCCCCTCCTGTTCTCCTCCCACCCAACCACGGCAGAATGAGTACGAGATCTACCTCTTGATATACCTTAACGGACAATTGACTCCGCCCAACGGAGCTCGCTGCCCGTGGGCAAACCCCCCCACCACCCCCCCCCCCTCCCCCTGTGGAAGGGCATCCGGTCAGGATGTCATCAACCCTAAACACCTTGTCGCATGGTGTTTAGGGTTGATGCCTCTCTCGGGTGCATGCCATCCGAGGGGTTTTTAGTTTTTTTTTTCTGCCCGGGGGGGTCAGCAGGTCAATGATCGACGGTGGTTGACGGTGCCGTCGACTCCATTCCATTGAAATATTCCTGATAGCGCGCTTTATGACGGTGTTCCTGGCGCACTAACAGCAGCAAATCAAGCCTGCCAGTGAACCTCATGACTTAACACAAGTCATTCCATCCTCCCCTCTACTTCTCCCCACCGCATCAGAACGAGTACGAGATCTACCTGATAACGCGCTTCATGACGGTGTTCCTGGCGCACCTGCAGCAGCCAGCCAGCGCCCCTCATGTGCTTACCACACTGCTCACTCCATTCCCCTTCAATTCTCCCCAATGTCCTTGGTCGGTGTTTTCATTCCCTCTTCCCCTCGCCCTCCTGGCAGAACGAGTACGAGATCTACCTGATAGCGCGCTTCATGACGGTGTTCCTGGCGCACCGGGAGAACCTCTCGGAGCTGACGCAGGCGGATGTGGTGGCGCAGTGGCTGCCCATGGTGAAGGAGTACGCCTGCAACATGCACCCCGGCGACTCCCTCTGCATCGACGCGCGCCCCATGCTTGCTGTCGCCGAGATGCTCCGAGCCAGCCTGGGTGAGTGAGTTAGTCGGTTCGTGTGGCGTGTGGTGCTCCCCAGAGCTCTCTAGCCAGAGGTGTCACGGGCCTGGGTGAGTGAGGCTGTGTTTGTGCTCCGAGCCAGCCTGGGTGAGTTCTGGGTTTTGGGATGTGTGACTCCTGAGGAGTGAGTGTTACGCAATGGTTGTAACATACGAAGTTCCCTCCCGTCATCTCATTGTTTTGTCTCCTTGGCTGTGTGTGTGTGTGTGTGTGTGTGTGTGTGTGTGTGTGTGTGTGCACGGTCATGCGCATTTTGTGTATGATCGGCATCCATGCATGTGTGCATGTCAACATGTGTGCTGTGCATGTCGACATGTATGTATGCATGCATGATGCATCCACACGTACCATCACGGCAGACTTGAAGCCAGGGCTGGGAGCATCGTACGCGGTGACGTGCTGCTCAGTGGTGCAGCGGTTGCTGGGCACGCGGGGCGTGTTTGAGTCGGTCAAGTCCAACCCAGACTTCATCAGCATCCTCATCAAGGTGCGCTGTGTGCCCTTGCGGTTGCCCTTGCACTCCTGGCGACACTCCCTGCAGCTATGCATCTTCTCTTAGGAATGTTCAAGCAGAAAGGCAAGCACTGCGTGTTTGAGTCAGTCAAGGCCAACCCAGACTTCATCAGCATCCTTGTCAAGGTGCGCCCTCTTTGCCCCATGGCCAGAAAGGCGCCCTCTGCCTCTACGCATGCATCGTCTCTCAAGCAGACTAGAAAGGCACCCGGGGCATGTTTCAGTCGGTCAAGTCCAACCCAGTCTTCATCAGCATCCTCATCAAGGTGCGCCCTCCTTGCCATTTGACCCATGATCCATGACCGGGAAGACATCTGGGCAGCTATCTACCTGTGATGCGTCACAACACACATACCTTTCCTCTGTCTTCCCCATCTTTTCCCGTGCCTACCCACCTGCTCAATCCAGGCCCTCAAGCACCCATCGTCCGTGGTGGCGTTTGCAGCAGCCAACACGATCCGTGCAGCCATAAAGCACTACTCAGCTGACTCACCCGCTCCTGACTCCCCTGCTGCTGCCAGAGCCTCCACCACCTCCTCCTTCCTCATGCAAGCCTGGCCTGCCCATGCGGTGAGTTCTTCAAATGGGTCGGTTCAGGCATGTTGAGTGCTTGCTTTATAAATAAGCTGGGCGCTGCGTGGTGACAACCTGCAGGTGCTGCTGGTGACCATGACCATTGGATGAAGCATCTGGTAACGCGTTCCCTTATATTGAACCTGTCCTCTCCCGCCCCTGATGCCACAGGAGGCGGCCAACAAGCACGTGGTGCTGAGTGGCGACAACCTGCAGGTGCTGGTGGCTCGGCTGCAGACAGACGCCCTCGTGCACCAGAATGCACTGCAGGTGTGTGTGTGTGTGAAAGGGGAGGTGCGGTAATGGCTACCTTATACTGTGTCTGACCTTGCTCCTGGTGCTGGTGGCTCAGCTGCAGACAGACGCCCTCGTGCACCAGAATGCACTGCAGGTGTGTGTGTGTGAAAGGGGAGGTGCGGTAATGGCTACCTTATACTGTGTCTGACCTTGCTCCTGGTGCTGGTGGCTCAGCTGCAGACAGACGCCCTCGTGCACCAGAATGCACTGCAGGTGTGTGTGTGTGAAAGGGGAGGTGCGGTAATGGCTACCTTATACTGTGTCTGACCTTGCTCCTGGTGCTGGTGGCTCAGCTGCAGACAGACGCCCTCGTGCACCAGAATGCACTGCAGGTGTGTGTGTGTGAAAGGGGAGGTGCGGTAATGGCTACCTTATACTGTGTCTGACCTTGCTCCTGGTGCTGGTGGCTCAGCTGCAGACAGACGCCCTCGTGCACCAGAATGCACTGCAGGTGTGTGTGTGTGAAAGGGGAGGTGCGGTAATGGCTACCTTATACTGTGTCTGACCTTGCTCCTGGTGCTGGTGGCTCAGCTGCAGACAGACGCCCTCGTGCACCAGAATGCACTGCAGGTGTGTGTGTGTGAAAGGGGAGGTGCGGTAATGGCTACCTTATACTGTGTCTGACCTTGCTCCTGGTGCTGGTGGCTCAGCTGCAGACAGACGCCCTCGTGCACCAGAATGCACTGCAGGTGTGTGTGTGTGAAAGGGGAGGTGCGGTAATGGCTACCTTATACTGTGTCTGACCTTGCTCCTGGTGCTGGTGGCTCAGCTGCAGACAGGACGCCCTCGTGCACCAGAATGCATTGCAGGTGTGTGAATTGCGCTACCAGGACTATAGAGTGTTCTTACTTTGTGGTCTGTGGAATCTTGGACTTGAGACGTGAGTATATGCTTTTAATATGCAGGTATTTTGAAGGTTGAGTTGATTGTGGTATTTCAATATGTTTGTGGTGCACAGTGCGTGCTGACAAACCCTGTTTGTTTCCTTCTTAAACGTCAGTATTGCAATGAGCTTCTGAATCCTTCCCATATGTGTGTGGTGTGTGCACCCCCTCCCTCCCACTCCCATTCACAAGGTGCAAGGCATTCTGGAGCTCAAAGCTCAGCAGAAGCACGTTCAGCAGAAGCACGTTCAGCAGAAGCAACTTCGAGGCGCCTGAGAGACGTTTCTTCCCTCCCTCTACCACCACTCCTGCATCCCACCCCCCCTATGCCCCACAGGTGCAAGGCATTCTGGAGATCCTCACTCTCGCGCTGCACCTGCCGCCCTCGTCTGATGCCGAGGCAGAGAAACACTGGATGGAGGTGAGGTGAGGTGAGGCGTGCTGTTGCTGCTGCTGTTAGCTTCAGACATCTCTCAAACACGGATTCAGATAGAGGCGTGGAAGGAGGTGAAGGGTGGATGAAGGTGAGGTGGGCTATAATTTTTGGTGCCTCCAGGACTGAATGTCACACGGAACATTCACTAGAGCGACATTAGCAAAGAATGTGCATTTCAGCTACCAATTTACCTGCCCATATTCATCTGCCCATATTCCATCTTGCCCATATTCCATCTGCCCATATTCCATCTGCCCACGCCCATCGCCCATCAGACCCTGAGAGCTCTCTGCTCGTGGCTGCTGACGTCATCAGTTGCCATTTCCCGGAGCCGCAGCAACATTATGTACTGCAGGTGGGTGTGTGTGTGTGTGTGTATGTGTGTGTGTGTGTGTGTGTGTGTGTGTGTGTGTGGGTGGGTGGGGTTTGGGTGTTGATTGTGGTTGTGAGTGGTGTGTGTGTGTGTGTGTGTGTGTGTGTGTGTTGTGTGTGTGTGTGCATGCGTGTGCTTGTGTGTGTGTGTGCGCGTCTATGTGCTTGTTTCTTTTGTACACTGTGAATGCTGCATCCTGAGTGTACCTTCTCTGTTGCTTCTGCCATACGTCTCCCTCTCCATATCCCTCCCACCCCCCCTCTTCCACTACCCCACACAAGGCCCCCCCTTTCTCTCCGTCAATTTCAGTTTCATTCGCCCTCTTCTTTCTTTCTTCCAACCATTCTCTGTATTCGATATGGCTCCCATACCCCAGTCTCCCCTCCCCCTTCTCCACCCGCAACCTCTCCCCCAAGTATCCGTCTCCATGCTCTCGGTATTTCCCTCAATGCCCCTGCTCTCCCCTCACCAGCAATGCGCTGCTGATCAAGACCATATTCACACGCTGCTCGCCTGCCTTCATCACGCGCTTCAGGGTAGGGTAACATGTCTCATTTGTTGCCTGTGGGCGGACCATGCTGTGCCAGTGCCACGTGTCATGTGCCATGTGGCATGTGTCTGTCATGTGCTTTTTGTTACGTGCCATGTCTCGTGTGCCATGTGTCATGTGCACGCATTGCATGTGCCTTTCATGGCGCCTCAAATGGATCTGGCCACCTGTAAGTCGCTTCTTTCCTTTCTGTCACCCCCCCCCCTTCTTACTTTATTCTGCACTTTATTCCAACCGCACTCTCTCGCTTTTCCATCCAGGCCGTGATTGTGTTTCTTGTCCATCCAGGCCGTGATTGTGTTTCTTTTCCTCGCAGTGGTACCGCTGTTGCTAAAAAAGCGCTGTTGCCAAAAAAGCGCTGTTGCCAAAAAAGCGCTGTTGAGCAAGCTGGAGAAGGCGAGGGACGTCAGTGGGCACTGTCATGCTCAGTCTCTCTCTCACCACATTATTTACCACACTCCCTCCATTCCATTCTACAAAGACTGTGATTCTATCCCGTGCGGTGGTGGTGCTGCTGCTGAAGAACGCACTGTTCAACAAGCTGGAGAGGGCGAAGAATGTCAAGTGACACAACCATGCTCAGTCCTGCTCTCTCTTCCTTACACGCTCCCTCGATTCCGTCCAGACGGTGATCCTATCCCGTGCAGTGGTGCTGCTGCTGCTGAAGAACGCACTGTTCAATAAGCTGGAGAGGGCGAGGGACGTCAGCGCAGAGCTGCTGTTCCTCATTGCTGAGAGCGATGCCAAAACGCAGCTCCTGCTGGCGAACCTGCTCCCCAAGGGTGGGCTTTATTTCATGCACCGTGCCTTAGTGTCAGTCAGTGCGGAACTGCTGCTCCTCATTGCTGAGAGCGACGCCAAAAACACAGCAACTGCTGGCGAACCTGCTTCCCAAGGTGTGCCTCATGCGTCATGCGTCATGGCTGGACAGCACTGAGTGATACTACAAAGCCATTATGAGTGTCAGTCAGTGCGCAGATGCTGTTTCCTTATGCCGAGATCGACACAGGCCAGTGTATTTCTTTCTACTTGGGGGATACACGGGATGCTTCGCTACTGAGCTTCAGTGTAACTAGCGTTGGTCTTTCACACTCTAATCTGTTCCCTCCCTCCGTCCTCATCATTTTGAACTCTTGCTGCAGGGTTTCTTTTTTGTTCTGAAAGACAAGACAGAAGCTGCGAGAAAGGCTGAGCTTGAGGTAAGCTCGACCGGGGAGAGGGACTGTAAGTTGAGTAGAATGTTTCGAGGTTTGAAGCTTCAGGTCGTGTTCTAGAACGACGAATGAGAAGGTTTAGATCTAGGTTCAGTGTGGTGAAGTTCTTTTCAGAAGTCGACTCGATGTGAATTTTAGCATGATGGGGAATTTTGGCTGTAGAAGTCAAATTGTTCCCGTGTGTTGGAGTGCCACCTCGACCAACCCAACGGGAGCAGGCCAAGGCAGCAGCAGCAGCAGCAGCAGCAGCAGCAGCAGCAGCAGCAGCAGCAGCAGCAGGGTGTGCTGGCTCCACCTCACTTTTACTTCGATACTAATTTTTTGATACTGATTATTTCTTATATGTTTGCGATTGCCATGTCGGCCCCAACCCAACAGGAGGCAGCCAAAACCGCAGCCAGCAGGCGGCGCTAGCTCTACCCTAGCTTCCCTGCCTCTAAGTGGCAGCAGCAGTGGCAGCAGCAGTGGCAGCAGCAGCAGCATCAGCAGCAGGCAATGGCAAGAGGTCATTGCTTCAATTTACTTCTCAAACCTTTTTTCCTATTTGTTTCCCTGCTCGTCCCAACCAACAGGAGGCTGCCAAAGCCTGCCGCAGCAGGCGGCGCCAAGCTCTACCCTTGCATCCGGGCTCAAAGTCGCAGCAGCAAGTGGCAGCAGCGGCAGCAGCAGCAGCCACAGCCAGCACAACCACCGGCACAGCACCGGGAAGCGGGACTGCTGCGGGAGAAGGCAGTGTGGGGGAGCGGTGGGGATGGGGGGTGGGAGTGGAGGGCTGGGGGGTGTGGTGGCGCTGGGGTTGGAAGGAGGCGCTGGAGATGCTGAGGCGGAGAAGCATCACAACGCCGGTGCTGGTGTGGAACGACGCCAAGAGGCACGAGCTGCACGCGGTGAGTGGGGAAGGTTGAACTGGTGATTTGCTGATTTATGAATGCTACTGAATGTACCATGCACGGGCGCTGCATTCATGCTGAGGCGGAAAAGCATCACGACCCCCGTGCTGGTGTGGAATGATGCCAAGAGACATGAGCTTCATGCGGTGAGTGGGGAGGGCCTGAATATTGAGCTGGTGAAGGGCTGATTGCTGTATGTATGTACCACGCATAGTCCACGCTTTCTTGCTGAGGAGGAGGAGTAGGAGGAGCATCACGACACCTGTGCTGGTGTGGAACGATGCCAAGAGGCACGAGTTACATTACATGCGGTGAGTGGGAATGGGTTCAAGTGCTGAAGGGCTCAGTGCTGAAGGTAGGTGCGCACGGCATGCATGGGTAATGCGTCCATGCTGAGGAGAAGGAGAGGAGCATCACCATGCCCCTGCTGGCTGCGTGGTGCATGTGTTTGCATGCATGCATACTAACTCACGCACATGACATGACACTGTACCCACCCACCTATGCGTTTCCGCCCTGGCAGTACCTCAAGGAGCAGGTGGAGGCGTTTGCAACCTTGGGGTGGACGGGAGGCGAACAGAGGCACACACATGCACACCTGCACGCATGGCATCTCAAACACATGCACACCTGCACGCATGGCATCTCAAACACACTGTATCACACACACTTGTGCATGCTCGCCCTGGCAGTACCTGAAGGAGCAGGTGGAGGCGTTTGATGCAGCCCTGGGGCGGACGGGGGGCGGCAAGGACATTCACTTCAACACAGACGACTGCGAGTGCTTGCTACACCCCTGCCAGTAACGATAACGGTGAGTGAGTGAGTGGTGGGATGATGGGGTGGGGAACTAGAGGCAAAACGAGATGAGGCCAAGATATTCACTTCAACACAGATGACTGCGAGTGCTGCTACACCCCTGCTAATAATGATAATGGTGAGTGAGTGAGCGGTGGGTGGGATGACGGCGAGTGGCTAGACAGGTCAGGGACCCTACAGGCAAAGGAGAGGAGGCAAGGGCATTCACTTTAACACTGACGACTGCAAGTGCTGCTGCACCCCTGCCAGTAACGACAATGGTGCGTGAGTGCGTGGTGGGATGATGGGGCTGGGGGGAACTATTGGCAGGCTAGAGATGTGGCAACTTGCAAGGGCATTCACGTTCCCTTCAACACGGACGACCTGCGAGTGCTGCTGCACCCCTGCCAGTAACGACAATGGTGCGTGAGTTCGTGTGGAGTGGAAGGTGTAGTCTCCAGAGGAGCATTGGAGGAGGCAAGGATGTTCACTTCAGCACCGACGACTGCAAGTGCTGCTACACCCCTGCCAGTAACGATAATGGCAGGGCAGGAGTGCATCTTTGAGGTGCGACTTTTGAGAATTCTCAAAAGTCGCACCAATATAGCGGGTGC